GTTCTTTCTAGATGCATGAATTCGTTCTTCAAACAAGGTACTTTCTTGGGGCATTCTAGTTGGGTTCTGATTTGTGTAACTTATTCTTCAAAACAGTTTCCCTTTTCTTTCACCATGTAACAAGACCTTTCTTTGTATGCACCCCTTTCAACAAAATTACTGAATTGTATTTGTTACCTCATCAAGGAGTCCTAGCTAAGAGAAAATTCTGGTGCATGCATGGATTAATTCTTTAGCAGTTTCTTTTCATGTTGATGTGCAATACTCAATTTGGACAGGGCCAAACCATACCAGAACCTGAATAAAAAAATATTATGGCCTCTAATCTTTACAACTGCTCACAACATCACATATGGAGTGGTTAGAAAACCTGAAGGATTTAAAATTAACACATTATCTACAAGATAGAGAAAAAAAAAGGAATGTCATATATCTATTTGATTCTCTTCGAAACAAAAGTTTCATCTAAAAATTTCCTAAAACCTGAAGAAAATCATAATAATCTTTACAGACTATACTAGACTTTTTTAAGAATTTCATGATCACTAAGGTAAGAAAGATTGCAACATCAAAACTTAACATTATCCAATCCTTGAATCAGAATATGAAGTACCAAAATCGTTATGTTGACTTTAGGTTATAATTAAGGGGAAAATTGTGAGGCATACCATAGGCAACAAAAAGGCTTTAATAGAAAGCGATAACTTCTAAGAAATAAAATCAAAGGGGAGAAGAAACAGGAATATGTTTATATATTTTCAAAATTTCCGATGGACTATTCATAACAAAGGCAATATAAGCAAGTATAAGCAACCATCAGTGTATACATCATGTCCAGAAGCATGGGTGAAGAAAATTATGTCAAAAGTTTTTTGCTTTTTGCCCATATTACACTATAAGTCAGCCAATAACACACACACACACACACGCACACCCCTTTTTTATGTTTCTTAGAAATGCAAACTAAAACTATAGAAATCCTGCATTATAGTTCCCAAATGATATTCTGTCTTGCATATCTTGCCCTTGTAAATTAGCTAATTGAGAACCATATGTTGCATGGCATTTATCTACTAATTATACTGTCTAAAAAGCCAATTCATACTTCCTCTTTGTCCCAAAAATACAACCAACCTAACATTATATTATAGCTTATAATTTGTACCAAAGGTGATATAGCAGAAACTAAGATTAAAAATGTCATCCAGTGCTACATTACCAAGTTACATATCCAACCATAGAATTAATAGTACATTTAAAAAGATAGCTAGAAACTGCAATGGCATTTAAAATAATTTAATGTATCTGTCTATTATACCAATCAAGATTGTAACTGTTACCTGAACACGGAAATAATCCCCATAAGGTACATCGCTGATTTCTTGTGATGTCTCAACAATCATATGTCTGATAGAAAAAAAAATCAATTCCAATGCAGGTAAAAATTTCATATATTAAAAAAGGCAATTTCTGTAGAGATGGAAAGGTAATGGTACCTGGAAAACTTTAACCAATCAGAATCCCATGTGAATGTGGATAATACTAGTTAATTGGTTACCACTTGGATGAATACCAATTGATTAGCTATCAGTTTTTAGGTACCATACCTTTTTGGTACCATAATGGGACTCATAAGAAAATGCTACATAATTAAGTTTTGCAGAGTATCAAAATACACAAAGTTGAATAAAATAAAGGAAAGGCAAGCCATCTAAAGTAATCTCAGAATTTTGGATCTAGCCTGTCGCTGCATCCAATTTTTTTGCCATTCTCCCACACAAAACCAAGACTCACATCATTTACATACAGCTGATGTATCTTACATTGTTCCCAAGCAAGTTAAAAAGTAATTAAGCTACTAGTAACTTTCCACAGGTTAGTTGACTATGACAAGCATGATTTTCAGACATGCCACATCATTGACATGGTATCAAATCCTTTATTGACTCTTTTCTTTCTAATGCTGCCTTTGTTGAATAATGGTAATGGAATGCATCTAAATATTAAAGATGACTTGGCATGATTGGATATTAAATATTTAGTATCCAATGCATGATATGTCCACATATATTTATCAATTGGCAGGCAAATTTTAGCCATATCTCTGTACTTCAAGATTTTAGGATCAGACAGGTTCTCTTACTCACAAACCCACACTTGAATCCATGTAATACAAGTATTAAATTAGCTAAAAGTTCAAGTTGTTAGCTTAGTTTTCAAGGCACCAAGGTGAGGCTAGGCAATAGGTGCCTAGTTGCATAGGCGATTGATTTTTTTATAAACTCAATGGATTTTTTAAGTAAAAATCATCAATCTAGGGTAATTCCCTAGGTTCCATAGCAACAAGCAACCATCTTTTACTAGTAGTTATCTATAATTTTCATAAAATATGTTCAACCTTAATACTAAAACATAAAAAATCAACATATTCATGATAAAAAAAAGAAAGAGAAGAAAATTTAGAAAATAGAGGGATTGATCCCCTGTTTTTGTCCTACAAAAAGAAGGAAAGAAATGATGATGTGGACAAAATTTTAAGTTATTCCTTGCTTATTGGTTTAGGTTTTGAATTCTGCAAAGGTTCAAGACAACATAAACCAACATGTGTGTTGATTGAACCCTAACAAATAAGAAAATATAAAAAATAGTATTTTAACTCACAAACTGAACAATTTAGGTTAATAATGTCTGTTTTATTGAATTTGCCAAGGAACTGAACTGTGAACAGTTGTTAATTGAGGGTGATTCCAAGCTGGTGATCCAGTGGTTAAAAGAACCAGAAACAGCAGCCTGGTCCTATAAAGGAGCTTTACGAAGATTCAAATGGCTAACTACAAAAATGTCAGTCCAATTCCAATGGGAAAGAAGATCAGCAAATGGGTTAGCAGATTCATTAGCTAAACAAGGGGTGCATAGGAATCAGATGTTTTGGGATAAACTGTAATTTTTGCTTTAATCGAGGCTGTATCTCGTGCCTCATCTTGGGAATTTTCTCTGTGTATCTTTTATGCTTTTAATCTATTAATAAATTCACTCATTATTCATAAAAAAATGTCTGTTTTATTATTATAATCTCAAAAAATTAAGAATATAAAAGTATATGATAGCACCATGTACAAAATAGTTAGGCTATTAGGCAAGGCAACCCTCCATGCCTTGTCAGTTTCTTGGTTGACATTTTTTTAATAAGTGTTCTTGTTCTTGGCTGACAATTATTAGTAGCTTGGTCTTTAGATAATTAAGTAGCTTACTTTCATCTTGATTAGAAAGGCCTATAAATAAGTGTAAAGGAGCATTCTTCAATTTTTTTTTATGAATAAAGAAAAGATTCTAAATTCTTTAGCATACATAGATGATAAACTTTTAGTTTAACAACTGTTTTCACCACGTAAATCAGTGAAGATAAGAAATAAAAAGCAACTTACTGTAAGACATGGACCACATGGTTAAGTATAAATTGTAAAATGCTCTCTTATGAAATAAAACTAAAAAAGAGAAAGAAAGAAAACTAAGAACAATGGAAGTGATAGAACTAATAAAAAGGTATTGCAGAATATATTATCATAATCTTAAGATAGTCCATGAAGAAAATAGATTACCAACCTGTCTCGGTAAACTCTAACTTTCTGTATCCCCTGGCAGTGACCATATCGCGCACCTTAGATGCAACACGCAGAAATTAAATGTCAGTAGAACTCAATCCAGAGTAATGTCTATAGGAAAGAAGTACAAGTCATCTGGAACTGAATAGAAAATAAGATTGCCATACCGAAATACAGTTTTATTGGATGCTGAAATGATACATCACGTGCATATCCAAATTGCTCTTCATACCATGAAGTGCACCTAAACTCTGAAAGGTACAAGAATTAAGCATGTAGACAAACAAATGTACAGTGTTGTAGGACATCACAAGGAAGTCCACATTAGTTTAGTCATCATGGAAATGGTTGAAATGAATAGCAGCTAGCTAAACAAAATGAAGAAAAACATAAATTAAGGTGTTCTGCAACATGAATTTTTTGTTTTCATTTGGTTTTGGAATCGCCGCATCAGAAAAAAAAAAGAAAAAAACAAAACAAAAATGTTCTTGAACTCTGTTTTTGTTTTCAAAGGGAAAAAAAACAGGTTGTTTTGTTTCAAAAAACAATACATGTTTTTGGAACCAACAGAATATTGGTTTTCAAAACAAAAACAAATTTTCTAGTATAAAAACTATATGATTTATGGAACATGATGTTGAATAATCAGATGAAAACATGTTTTTGAAACCAGATTTAAGAACATGTTTTTGGTTTCAATTTTGAAAACAAAAAAAACACACAGACAACCAAGAACATGTTTTCTGTGTTTTTGTTTTAAGAAACAATATGTTTTCAAACAAGATGGTTTTGATTTGTTTTTTGGAACCGGCAACAAGAAAAAACAATTGACGTTGTAGAACACCCCCTAACGGTTTTATGGCATATGAGATGCTATACCTTTGGCTCCGCATCTTGTATGAAATGATTCAAGAAAATTAACAGCTTCATCTGAGAAAAAGAGATTGAAAAACTCCTCTAGCTGAATCTGTGGCCCATAAAATTTTAATGTAAATCAATTTGGCTTTTCAATATCTCAGTGAAATGGCTTCGCTGAAGCATGGACCAGTCCAGAAAAACCATGTAAGTAATAAAGAAATATGCCAAAAAAAGTAATAAAAAATAATATTACCGGAAATTTTGACTCTGCAACCAATGTATAACACTCAGGTACTGCAGAGAAAGAACTAAGATTTCAGAAAATAAGTAGATGAAACAGTAAATCATAACACATTAAAAAGAGTAAACTACAGGAAGTTCTCCTTGGGGAGTAATTTGGCACATCCCATTTTATGATCAACTGAGCACATCCCTAACGAAAAGACAAAGCAACCCTTATTTATAATGATAAGAAGCAAATCACAGGGATGCTTTTGTCTTTTAAAAATGTATCTTTAGAAGTTGGAACAATCACTAGGGATGGATCTTGGGTGATGTAGGACAGATAGGAGAAAGTCCTACAAGTTAGATTTGCGATGGGCTGAATAAATAGAGGAGAAACAATGGAGTTTCTAGATTATAAAGGAAAACATGCTAGTGAATGCTTTGAAGTAAATTTAGGATGATTATAGTATATTTTAGGAAAGAAATTGGTGATCTTATGATGGAGAAAAATTGAATTCTTTGTAGGTGCTCAGATAAAGGAGAAAACAAGTATAACAGGGAGAAGCACAAGGTACTTGTGGTCATGAGACAAAGAAAAGTGGAAAAGGAAGAGCCAGGGGTTAATGTACCTCACAAGGTACAAAACACAACTTCAAATCAAATTCATACTCATTGGAGACTTACAATATATCAATAAAGCTCTAGGTAGGCTAAACCTATGCTTTCCATAACAAACTCAAACACTTCATAACAAAGAAAAGGACATAAAAAAAGAAATTTAGAATCTCACACAAACTCTTTAAAAGAGGTAAATACTACTAACTTAATCCAAAGAAATCAGAAATTAATAAAAATAGTAAATACTAAGAATAGGAAATTTCTAGAAGAATGAAATTAATTGTACAAGCACCATGATTTCTTTTAATTTTAGCTCCAGCATTATTAGGTTTAGGATTGAGAGTAACAACGATAAAAGGAACATAAGTATACATGTATAACATATATACATACATAATATATATTCATCACAATGGGCACATTTCCAAATATAAATTAAAGATTAGCTCCTGCATTATTAGGTTTAGGGTTGAGAGTAACAATGATAAAAGGAACATTAAGTATACATGTATAGCATATGTACATACATAATATATATTCATCATAATGGGCACATTTCCAAATATAGATTAAAGATTAGGATAGATTACCGAAGGCTTTTATGGGCACAAATAATCTGGCTTTTGTTGCTGCCTCCATTTATACAACAAAAATAAAGAGAAGAAAATGAAGATACTACTTCAGAAAACACAATGGATGAACTGCCAGGAGGAGTAAATCAGGTGGAGATGTTTGGAGGGTCTGCCAATTCTGGTTTGGCAGGGGATGCTGTGCAAGGGGTCAACAGCCAGGTGAGTCATTTCTGCTCTATTATAAGTAGAGCCTCTGATGTAAATTCTCTCATCTGACATCAATTAAAGTTATCATGGATCTGTGCATGACAGAATAAACAAGAAACAAGAAACAACCATAACAGAGGGTATGTGAAAGGAGCAAATAAACAGAGGTTTTAAGGCAAATTCGCTTCCTCAGAAGCACCAAGAAATCATATTTTTTTGTCAACTCTTGGGCTTTAGCTACAAAGGAATTCAACCATTTTCCTCAATCTTTTGCAAAGGAACCTATCAACCTAATAGACATTCTTCACTCCTTTGCCCTTGTGTCTCATCAAAGGGGATCCCACCTTCTTAATAGAATAGTTTACTTTTTTTAAAAGAAAATATGGATTCCTGTAATCATTCCTAAGCAAAGATACATTTTCCAAAATCAGGGAAGATTTCCATAAAAAATCATGCATGATTTGATTCATATGCACATCTGTATGTAGATAAGTACATACATTCTTGTTAACATGAAAAAACATGTATCTACATGCATATTTGAACCATCAATGATTCTCCGGTAAGGGAACAGCCAAGCTTTGTGTTGATCCCTTCAGCCAAGGGAATGTGACAATATGTTGTCAAATAATCTTCTTTTGGCTTATAAAAGAAGGAATCAGAGGCTGGTAAGTTGGAAAGTGGTAATAAACAGAAAACCAAAAAACTCAAGGTTAAAAAATGAACAAAGTGGCATTGCTAGGACTTGAATAAATAACCTTCAATGTCCTAGAATAGCACAATCTAAACTGGCATTGTGAATCTATATCCTCTAAAAGTTGAAGCATCTCTGTGGTGATTAACTTATAATCACTAGATAGAATTTAGAAAATTCATCATTTCAAGAGAGAATACAACAGTAGGATGAGTACTGTTATGCGTGCAACGGGGGGATGCTAAACACCTTTTCTCCCAAGATGCAATGTGGCTTCAGACAATGGAGAGTTTTCTTACTCTTATTTAAGAGCACGGTTCAACTCAGCTAGTACTAGGAATTAGTCATTGCTGATTAGTGAACTGTAGGGCTAAAGTTTTCAATGCAACTGGGTTGACGCATGATCCAGCCCCTTCCATGAGTTAATGAAGGGGCTGCATTTCTAAGGGTTTAGATGAGGTTTCTTTTGGGAGCAGTTTTTCACAATGTCCTTGAAACTGTGAAACAGTACTATATATAATCTCCTACCTCATATACAAGGTATTGAGTCTATTGGCCCAAGACATCTCAATTGTACATTCTCTTTTTTTTATTATTAATAGGCTTTTTTATTTCTATTAAAAATTAATTTATTATAAAAATATCCATTTGAAATATATTGTAATGCAGGAACAAGTTATCTCTATGTGTGAAGATGAAGACATGACAGCTGAACCCAATAATGATTCTAAAAGGTTTAGCATGACCCTTCACCTGAAAATGCACTTACAGCCAGCTAAAGAGTTGAATGGAGACCGGATGAACAGGCAAATCATCAAATCACTAAAATCTAGTCAGTTAGCAAATGGATTCATGGTAGTCACTTTGGATAGGATTGGGATGAAGTTCTTTTCCCTCTCAGTAAAAGCCAAAAAGAATTGTTTTAAGAAAATAATATTTAGAGTACACACCCCATCATCCATTGAACAGGGGATAGGGGAAATTGATGAATAGCTGACAACTTTATGTAAATACAAGTAAAATAAGTTCACATCTTTGCCCTGGAAAGGCTAGAGGGCAATGGTTTTCACTTATTAATGTTAGTAGTGGTATTCAATATGTAATAACATCCTTAAAACAATGGCTATTACTTCAGTTAAACAGCTATATCCAGTTTCTTTGGGCCACCACTTTAACATTTAAGTATCATCTCAAGCAAGGTTTTAAAAACTGACCCGGAACCAGAACCACTTTGGCCACCAGTTTCCAGGTCAGTGGTTCGACCATCCGGTTCGAAGGGACGACCCATTCCAACTTAAAAAATAAATAATTAAAAAAAAAAAACGGCAAAAAATGTTGTCTGGATCAAACGGGGTGACGATTTGACCGCCCGGGTCAATGGGTCGCTAACAAAGTCAACAGTTTTTGGCCAAGGACTGGGTTAAGGGTAAAACGGAACCAGTTGCCTGGATGGTTCCCGGGCCGAACGGTCTGATTATCCAGGTCGACAATGGTTCAAAAGAACTGATCTCAAGTATTCTTTCTCTATCTATTAGTACTTTTTTCTTAATTAATTAATATAGTTTTGTTGAATTTGTTACTAATCAAAAAAATATATATACAAGTAACTGCTAGAGTCGGCTAAGGAGGGGTAGTTCTGTCTTTTTATCATAAGTTAAGTTGCGACTTCTCAGATCGACAGTTCTGTTCTTCTCTCCTTCTCTCTTTCTCTTTTCTCTCTGAACCTGGTTCAATTGATCTATCAAATCATGGTATTAGAGCAATAAACAGGAGGAAATAAGACTACAGCTTCAAGTCCTTGGTACTGCAATCAGTCCTCCTTTTATTTTTTTTCTGGGCTGCACAATCTGGATTACAGGTGAGAGAAGGCTGCAGCAATCTATAGAGGGCTGTGGTATCCTATTCTGGTGCTCCCAGAATTACTGTGGTCTGGATTACAGGTGAGAGAGAGGTGTGGCAGCCCTAGTTGGTGTTTTCTAGACTGCTGTCACCATGTGTGGCAGCCCTAGTGGTTGTGTGGTGATGTCTGTGGTGGTTTGAACCCTCTACTAAGCAGTTTCAAGAGGGGTTTCTAGTCATATGGCAGTTTTGTGGTGTTAGAAGAAGTCGTGATCAGTTTTTTTTTTTGTGTGTTGAAAGAGGTAGCTGAATGTGTTTAAGTGGTATCTCATGTACTGAGTCGTCGTGGTTGGATGAGGTAGGGGTGTCAATTGGACTGGATTTGGTCCAATCCGATCAGTCCAATGTGAGTCCATTATAAATGGACCAGGTCCAGTCCAATCCAATGAATGTTTTGGACCAATTTGAACCGGTCCAATTCAATGTCTGGACCGTCCAATCTGTTCAAATTCATTCTGATTTAGATTGGTTTCAACCCAAACCTGGTCCACTGACACATATATTATTATCTTATATCAATGGACCAGATATTGGCTTAATCCAACCCAATCCAATATAAATTTGTTACGAATGGACCAGGTCCAATCCAATGTAATAAATATTATGGACTGGATTGGTCCAATCCAATCCAATCCTAGCACTACTAGGAAGTGTACACACAGTGGAAAGGACTAACAAACAATTAATTTCTGTTATGATCTACATGGGCCACCTTCCACATTGGCTAATCATGGCGTTGTTGGTGGTAGTGAAGTAAGTGATAATCAGCATGTTGATCCAACAACACCTTCTACATCTACAACTGCTTCCCGGAAGGAGATGATAAGTGCCAAAAGATGAGTATGAGAAGTTCCTTTAGGCTACTTCACAACAGAATACTGCCATGCACATTCAGGTATGGCTTGTTTGGCATCAAAACCTTCTCACTGGATCATTGACTCTGGAGCCTCTAATCACATGATCGAGACTTCAAGTGTGTTTTCCTCCCTTCTCAAACCTCCACATCACATACTATTACCCTAGCCAATGGTTTTACTTCCCCCATTTGTGGTGTTGGTAACGTTGACATTGCATCACTCTTTCCTTATCCTTTGTTTTCTATGTACCCAAGTTTCCATTCAATCTTATATTTATTAGTAGACTAGCCAAGTCTCTCAATTGTTTTATCACTTTTTACCCTTCCTCTTGTGTTTTTTAGGATCTTAAGATGGGGAAGAAGATTGGTGGAGGGCATGAAGCTGGTGGATTGTATTATCTTGACAATGATGGATCTACAATTGCACTTTAGACTTCCTTGACTCCTCTCCAATGGCATTGTAAACTTGGTCATCTATCTCTCAAAGCTCTCAAGCTACTTGTTCCTTCATTGAGTCGTTTGTCTTTTTTGTAGTGTGAGTCGTGTCAATATGGGAAACACAATCGGGTTTCCTTTAGTCCTAAAGTTGATAGTCGTATGTTGAGTTCTTTTGCTTTAGTCCATTCAGATGTTTGGGTCCAATTGGAATTGAATCCTATAATGATTACAAGTATTTTGTTATTTTTGTTGATGATTGTTCAAGAACGACATGGATTAATTTAATGAAAGAAAGGAATGAATTATTCTCAATTTCCTAAAAATTTCATACTGACATATGTACACAATTTGGTGTTCCAATTAAAATTCTTCATTCAGACAATGACAGAGTATTTCCTTACTTCATTTCATCATTATTTGGAGCAACATGGCATTATTCATCAAACTTCTTGTGCATCCACCCCCCAACAAAATGGGGTGGCTAAGAGGAAGAACCGACATTTACTTGAAACAGCTCGGTCCCTTCTTCATCATATGAATGTTCCTAAACATTTTTAGAGTGATGCAGTGTTTACAGCTTGTTTCCTCATTAATCGAATGCCTTCATTAATTCTTGGAGGTCGTTCTTCATTAATTCTTGGCTATTCTAGGACACAGAAAGGGTATAAGTTCTACAATCCTATTATTCGGAAGTCATTTGTTTGCCCTAATGTTACATTTTTTGAGTTTGTGCCATTCTTCTCGGGTCTTGATATGTCCCTCCCTTCTTCGGTGGTCCCTCTTCCTCTTTCGGTTGATGATCCCATTCTTGTTGTTCCCGCTATGAATGAGTCTCCACCTCCTCTAGTGCAGAACCGTACCGAAAGACCACTGATCTGGCAAGTGTATACTCATCAACAAACACCAACACCTCTTCCAGCTTCTACTTCGTCGGCGAATCCAGTTTCTTCTACACCAGTGTGGCCTTCTCCTTCTGACCTTGATCTTCCTATTGCATCGCGGAAAGGTAAACGTAGTTGTACTTTGCATCCTATATCCAATTATGTTTCTATCTCACCTTTCCGCTTCACATTGCCAATTTGTTACTCTACTGTCATTTGTGTCTACACTTAAAAATGTTTAGGAAGCTCTTACCTCACCAGGGTGGCGTCAAGTTATGGAAGAGAAACTCATTGTGCTTAAACACAATCACATGTGGGAACTCACCAATCTTCCTCCAAGTGAGCATGTTGTTGGTTGTAAATGGGTGTATACTGTTAAATATCTACCAAATGGGAGAGTGGAAAGGTAAAAGCCTGATTAGTTGCTAAGGGGTATTCTTAGTTACATGGTGTAGTTATGTATGATTGGCTCCTATTTCAGCTTGACATTAAAAATGCCTCCCTCCATGGTGGTCTTTTGGAGGAAGTGTACATGGAGCAACCACTAGGGTTTATTGCTCAGGGGGAGGATGGTAAGGTGTGTAAGCTCAAGAAGGCAATTTATGGGCTCAAACAGTCCCCTTGTGCTTGGTTTGGCAAATTCAATTAAATAGTGAAAGAATTCAGAAAATGAGACAATGTCAAGTTGACCACTCAGTGTTCAGCTATGATTCTGAAGCCGGGAAGATTTTACTAGTGGTTTACATGGATGACATAGTCATAAATGGCAATGATAGATTTAGGATTAATAGACTGAAAGTCTTTCTACAAGATCATTTCCAGACAAAAAATCTTGAGAAGTTGAAGTATTTCTTGGATATAGAAGTTGCCAAATCGAAGCAAGGTATAAACTTGTATCAAAGGAAATATTTTTTTTAAAGGTAAGATAAGGCTTTATTAAAATCATCAAACAAATATGACAATAGCTCCCAAGCTACACTAAGTTTGGCCGGTACAGCTGACCAGATTATAGACAAGAAATGGAATGTGACCTTAACAACTTGGTTACATTCAGATTTTTGAAATCAGCATTCACAGAGATCCAAGAAATCAGTTTGCAAACAACAAAGTGAATAAGGTCCTCTGAGTTCTTCACTTTGTTACAGAAAATTCTATTGTTTCTTTCAGCCCAAATAGACCAAAGAATAGTAGCAGGTACAAATTTCCACACAAGCTTTCCTTCTTCAGACCTTGAACATTCTAGCAGCACAATAACTCCATAACTGATTTTGGCATTACCCAACTTAGCCTAGTAGCCTTGAGAAAATGATCCCACACCTTAGAGGTGCTAGTACAATGAAGACTTAGGTGGTCTATAGTTTCAAGTACTAGGCCACAAAGACCACAAGACTGATCCAAAATCTGCACTCATCTCCTCTCTAGATTTGATCTTGATCTATTGGAAGAAACATGACTATTAGGTGCTAAGCCAACTGGAACACCCATGGAACCGGGTGTGAAGTTGGGAAGTGATACAAGTGAATTATTTGATGATCCCGGAAGGTATAGATGGCTAGTGGGAAAATTGAATTACTTAACCATTACTAGACCAAATATCTTCTTTGTTGTCAGTGTGGTAAGCCAATTCATGCAAAACCCCCGAGTTCCTCACTGGGATGCAGTCCTTAGAATTGTATGATATTTGAAAGGGGTTCCAGGCCATGGATTATTGTACAAGCCAAGAGGAATTCTTGAAATAGTTGGCTATACAGATGCAGATTGAGCAGGTTCAATGTCTAATAGGAGATCCACTACAGGTTATTGCACCTTTCTTAGAGGAAATCTAGTGACGTGGAAGAGCAACAAACAAACTGTTGTGACAAGGAGTAGTGTTGAAGCAGAATACAGGGCCATGGCACACACTACATGTGAATTTGTGTGGTTGAAAAATATTTTGCAAGAAGTTAGGTTCTCAATAAGAAAACCCATGAAACTATACTATAACAACCAAGCTGCAATTCATATCTCATCTAATCCAATTTTTCATGAGAGGACTAAACACATAGAGGTTGATTGCCATTTTGTAAGGGAAAAAGTTCTTACTGGTGCCATAAGCATAGAGCATGTGAGGACAGGTGATCAATGGGCAGACTTGTTTACAAAAGGGTTGAGTTCAGGAAGAGTGAATTATATATGTAACAAGCTATGACTATATGACATATACTCTCCAGCTTGAGAGGGAGTGTTAGAATCGGCTGAGGGGTATTTCTATCATTTTATCATAAGTTAAGTTGTGCTTTGCCAGTTTGGTACTATTTTAAGTTGCATGTCCCATACTTAAGTAGGGGCATATTAGATATTGTAACCTGTATCGACAATATATATATGTAGTCAGCTGGGAGAGTCTTTTTGACTTCTCAGATCGATAATTCTTTTCTTCACTCCTTTTCTTCTTCTTCTCTCTTTCTCTTTTCTCTCTAAACCTGGTTCGACTGATCTATCAATCAGTAACCAAACATAGAACAGTAGAAATGGAAAATATACTAATTGCTATAATAGCCAATATAATAGTTTAAATGGTGAATAATGAGTCAATGTGCGAAAAGCTCGTAACCATCTTTGTTACTCTGAATCCTTTTCTTTTCCTTTGTTTTTATTTATTTATTTATATTTTCATCGGTAACTGAACAAAACATTAATAGAGAAGAATGAGGCGAAAAGAAGAGTGCAAAGAACGTTTGAACTGAGACACAAAATGTGTTTTTGTGAAAGAAAGAGATTTGAACAATTTGTAAGAAAAGAGGAGATTTTACGTAGGTACAATATGCAGAAAAAATAGGATAGTCAATAAGTCATCATGGTAATCAGGTATTCAGGTTTGGAGATTCTCATCTTAGGAAAAGAGAGATCATGCCATTGTCAAGGAGATTAGAGAGTTGTCAAATAAGGTGATCTGAAAGGACGTTGTCAATGTTAATGAAAGATCACACATATAGAGAAAGGAGAGTTGCTGGTTAAGACAAAGGAGGAGAACAAAAAGGAACAAAAAGAATACAACAAATACAGAAGAACTGCATTCAACTCTTTGTTCCATGTCTATGTTGTTTATTTTGTGATAGCCTTATATTTAAATATGTGAGATTGGTGATGAACCCGGGAAAACTGTAAAGTCCAACTGAGACAATCTGACCCTATCACTTGATGATCCTCCAGTCTGGGTACTAAAACAACAGTTCACCTCCTATGAAAACAAACGTGAAAGAAAAAGAGCCATGATTTAAGAAAAAAAGGTAGTAGTCAACTAACTCTTAGGGGCATTGGCATCCTCAGGCTTCCATATGAAAGGCTTTCTAGACAGCAAAGTCTCAGCATTTGCAACAGGTTCTAGATCTTCTTCTCCATTCTCTAGTGTTTCTGAATGTCTTGTTGATACACTTATATCATCCTCACCATTGGATAGACGGTTACATTCTTCTAGAACCCGAGAATCTTTGTTTCTGATTCAAATACAAGTAACCAAGACCAGAATAAATTCCTACTTAATAAGACAATGTATAACTTGAGATTTCTTAAGATAGACATGAAAATACCTGTCCATGGAATAAAGGTCGTTAGTTTGTCGTTTGAAGCTCTTGGAGTTTTCAAATATAACAAGGGCATCTTGGCTGCCATTGTCAGATTTTGACTCCTAACACAAAAAATTAGCTCATTAGGAATGACAACAAAACAAGAAATTCATCATTTTCTTTCCACATAAGAATACATCACTTTGCTCTCAGAAGACAGATTTGGACTCTATAGGTAAGGAAAGCATGTTGCAACTGATAATGATAGTGAAAGCAAGGAATGCAGCTCATTCGAGCTGAAGAGTAACACAGGCCAGCTAAGTTATTAAAGCCATAAAATGTTTTTATGCAGTTTGATTTCATGATACATTTACATCTGCATAAGCACTTTTTTTATTTAATAGTACAAGGTTTCTTAAGAAGCCTAATCTCGTCAATCTATTTAGATCTATGATTTTAAGAACACAAGTTCTGCATATGCACCAATTCTAATGACACTTGAAACTCTTATTATTTAACTTTCTAATGAATCAACAACTATAAGGTTGAACTTCAATGGATTTGGTTATTAAAATTAAGAACAGCAGACATATCTATAGTGGGATTCCTATTTGAGACCATTTCATATGTAAAAGAATTATATACCTGGCAATCTATTTGGGCATTCACGCGATCATTATGTTGAGCCCATCCATCAACAATCAGACGATAAGCTTCATCGCGGGACAGAAAAGACGCAAAGAAGTACTATCAAAGCAAGAAGAGAAATAAGACCTTGCAGCCAGTGCTGTACCTTAAAAGCAGAACATAAGATAATCTATTCAATCAACAAAAATGAAACCACATAGGACAAGGGAAAAAGGTTCATTGTTGGTCAGCACATTCATCCTAGTGGTTTCTCTAGAGAACTACCAAAAAGTTTTGGTACATGCAGGAAATTAGATACCTTGGGGAGCTTACCTTTTTCCCCCCAGCTAGAATTTCTATGGCATTAGGGAAGATTGCTGCTGTCTTTGCTTTCCGTACACATGTGACCTCATGGAAGGTGATTATTTTCTGCATATAAGATATAACTTCATGTTACAATATTTCCATTTGAATCATCCATAGCACAATGTTTTAATCTGTTTGAGAAAACATAACAAATAACAGAGGTTATTCAATAAGCTTTAAAGAATAATAGCCAACAAAGTTAAAAGAATGATTACTAATATATGTTACTGCTCACCTGGTCTTGCTTATCAACAAATTATTGCCCACAATCAAAGGAAATTATATTTTAAACATCAGATATGATGCACTTACAAGACGATAAATAAGAATGTAAAAAGTAAAATGTATAGATTTAAGAAGTAACAGTTGCAGCTAATGGTAGCAAACAGTTATAGAATATAATTGCCAATATGTAGAAGAATGCCAGAAATTCTGTAACCGTTGAGTGCATTCTGTAACCTTAACCAGTGGAAACGTAATGTGAATGCTTTGGAGGAGAATCTCCAAAACTTATAATATAAAACATTTTCCATGATATAAGAAGTTTCCTAATATCCACTGAAAGGTTAAACCTCAAACTAATAAAGTAATCAAAGACAAAGAGAAAAAGGCATGAACAGGGAATGACTGTCCAACAGAAGCCAAATAGGTTTGTTGCTATCATTAGCATTGCCACCGCATCTCTGATCAGTTTCAGTTTTTCCTTATTCTCTCTCTTGCATTCCTAGAAGGAGATAAATTCCCTAGTCTCGATGGATTTATTTTGGCATTTTATCACGAGTGCTGGGAGATTGTCAAAGAGGGTTTGAAAAGGGTGTTTGATGAGTTTCATAGAAGAGGGAAGATTGGGAAGAGAATGAATGCCACTTTTGTCACCTTAATCCCTAAATGTGCTGGGGCGGTTTCTTTGAATGAGTTTAGACCCATAAGCCTAACAACTAGTTTATATAAGATTGTGGCTAAGGTTTTGTCCTTCAGACTAAAAGAATGTGATCCACTTCATGGTAGCAAGTGAAAAAGGGGCTTTTGTCAAAGATAGACAAATCTTGGATCATATTTTAATAGGCAATGAAGCAATGGAGGTGCAAGAGAGCAGGGAAGAAAGATTTAGTTTATAAGTTGGATTCAGTGTTTTAAAAGGCGTGCACACTTGGAGGTGTGTCTCCAGGCGAGGCACCCCCAAAACACCCTGAGGCGTATGCCAGAGGCGCTGATACCTCTGAGGCATACACCTTTTTCATGAGGCATGCTAGAGGTGTACACCTCATGCGCCTCATGCACATTTCATATAAAATGACAAAAAAAAAAGAAAAAGAAAGAAAAAAAGAAAAAAAGAAAGGAAAGGAAAGGAAAGGAAAGGAAAGGAAAGGAAAGGAAAGGAAAGGAAAGGAAAAGAAAAGAAAGCAAAGGGAAAGAAAAAGAAAGGGAAGAAAAAAATAGAAAAAAGAAAGAAAGGAAAAGGGAAGAAAAAACAGCTATATCCAGTTTCTTTGGGCAATGGCTATTACTTCAGTTAAACAGCTATATCCTCTTCAACCCAAGCTGGTTGAGATATACTACTAGGAGGCAAAAAAATTTATGGTAGTGTGTAAGAGGAGACGTCTGGGGTTTGTGGAGTGAGAGGAATGTCAGAATTCTTGAAGAAAAATATAAGACACCAGAGGAGGTATGTAAACTTATTTTGATTAGGGTGGCTCATTGGATTTCAGTCTGATGAATTCAGAGGTGTTTCAGTGAATGATTTGGTAAGAGATTGGCAGGTGGCTTATACCTCGAGATTGTCAACAAACCCAGAGAAGAATATGGGATTCTGGGGTGAAGAAATGGATACTTCGACCCTATCCCAAGGGTCCTTTATATAGATAATGAAATTTGAGAATTTACAGAGAGGCCCTTGTAGGGCAACAGATATTAGAGGGGTTAACTTTGGCTGTTGGGGCCCAACAGCATAGGCTGTTGAGATAGTTTCTAGGCTGGGCACGTTCTGGGCAGTTCACCTATTCACACCCATGCTTTGGTTTTTAATCAAAATAAATTAAGATGTAATTACTAATTTACCCATTCTCATGGTAACGTGGCATTTCCAGAAATTCTCTCAACAGCATAGGCTGTTCGCTCCCAACAGCTAAAGTTTTTCCGATATTAGAGAATTTACAAAGAGGGCCTTGCAGGGCTGAAGAGAAAATAAGAGATAAAATACAATAGGAACTACAGTAATATGGTACATCAGGGAGTTTCTTCACAGAGACCACCAAGACTGGCTGAATTGTTTCCAACAACAGCTGGTTGAGTGAGAATGTCTTGTCACATCACATATGAGAGTCACTTCAGCTAGAAAGATAAGACTTTGCCAATTTCACATTTAAACTATAAACATCAATGATCAGTCCTACATATGCATTTTAAAGGTATGCCTGTTTCAATTATTAACAACTTCAAATAACAACCGTATGCCAATTTGTATTGATCAACTCAAAACATTTCAGGTAGAAACATCAATGATACCAAACACAACCTAAATCAGTTCTAACTACTTCAACAGATGTCTGTTTTGGTCTGGCCCCAGCTCTTCTAGATCCTTCAACATGTAACCAGTGTTTTCAACCCATCCTTGAGTCGGCCAATCAGATTGGTGACCCAGTCACAATTAGGGGTGATCATTTTCAGCACAGCCCAGCGTGCACATATTTACATATATAATATTCATACATGTTTTGTGTTATATTTTATATATAAATATTATAATATGGCACCTATAACACATATTACATGTAATATTTTATATTATAATGTATTTATACACATGTTATATGACATAATATATATATACATATATACATATTATACTTTATTTTATTTTATACATAAAGGTCATAGGCCCACAATCAGGCCCAGCTGAGTCCATGATCACTCCTTGCCACAATCCCAATTCAGGTCAACCTCTAGCCTTCTATATTATGGAAAAAATGACTCAGTTAAATGAACTGTCAACTAGACCTGTTCACGGGCCAGGCCAAGTTCAGGTTGGGCATTGCCTCTTTATTAGCAAAATACATCCATGCCCGAAATCAAGCCCAGCCCGACAATTGGGACTAAATCTTGAGCCCGAGCCCAGCCCTACTATAAAGCCCGAAGCCTGACCCATAAATTGGAAAAAAGATTTTTTGTTGTTTTTTTTTGTTTTTACTCAAAAAAAACTGATTTGTTTATATTAAATGACCTTAGAATGTTGAAAGATCTCACTATGGCTTGAGAAAAGAGAAGAAGAACAAAGAAAAAAATATATTATATATTTTTATAATATAAAATATTATTGGGCTCGGGTCAAACTTTTTTGAGAAAGCCCTATCCCGACCCAAAAAAAGTCAGGCCTAGTGTTTTGGGCCTAAGGTCAAGCCCATAGGCCTGAAATAATGTCCAAGCCCGACAAAGAACGGGCTGGCCCATCAAGCTACCTGGCCCATGAATAGGTCTACTGTCAACCCTAACAGTGAATTGTTAACCCATCTAACCTGTCCAATAGTGTCAATGTGGGTTCTTTTAGGAGGCCAGTGCAAACCAAGTCAAGCCAATTTGGGCCTTCCCCATGGTTTCTGCAGAGCACTAATGCTATTGGTGTCCAAACCGAATGCATTGATTTCCACTTCACTTCCGATCTTTGTGGGGCAAAACAATTTCAAGTCTGAGGCTAAGACCATTTTTGTAGAGGGTGAGAGAGGCCTTGAAATCAGGTTTACCAAGGAAGACAATTGGGGCTGAAAGAATGAGGAAAGTTTTCTTCGGAGGTGAAAGCTGGCCCCCCTTGCTCTTCTTGTCTTTAACTAGCCCTTTCGTCAACTTGTGCCCTTCCTTATAAGAAACTCAATTCATGCTTTCCTTCTAATCGACCAGGTGACTCTTTCCCTAGTCGAGTGCACTGATGTTTGATCACCATCTATTTGAGAAGTGGTGATTGGAAGGATAGGTGTGGATTTGGATAGGTGGAGGGTAGTAGAGAAGGATTTCAATGCAGCTGAAGTAGTGGCCTCCAAAAAAATTCATGGAGCAAGGAATTCAAAAATTGTTCACGTTACCAAAGCTTTCTCTCAATTGAAACTTGGATTGCTGGTGATGAGGACTCTAGGGTTCACACCAAACTGGATGTTCAATTGGGGAATTCCCAGCAAGAAAAAGATCGACAATGGTTTCAATTCTGCAGCGAGAGTTATTGATAGAAGCCTTTAAAAAAAAGATGGAGAGGTCTAGAGGTTAACCTATTGAGAAAATTGTTGAGAAAGATGTAGTGGTCGGCAAAATCCTTGGCTTATTTTTTTGGGGTGGTGAGGAGTTTTCTAGGAAAGCCTTTGAGGAGTTTGAGAGGAGAAAGAAGAGAGGATGAAGAAAGTTGTAATTGGAGGAGAGATTTGGGATGAGGATGATGATGGCCAGGAGGAAGTGTTTGAGGGGGAGGATTAGGGTCTTGGCTTTGCAAGGTTCTGCTTGGTTTCAAAGGAGGTGGTGGAGTGTGGAGTCATTGGGAGTTCTGGTGCTGTTCGATCTTTGTTTCTGTTAGAGTTTTGTAGTCTGATGTCAATGTTGTAAGTCATGTCCTAGTGTTCTTCTCTTTCTCTCGGGTGATAACTTATCACCTTCCTATTTGAATCCTCTTTGTCTTTTTAATGAATTACCTTTTACCTTGCACAAATAAAAAAAAAACTGTGGTCAGGATACTGATCCAATGTGATACTCTAACGACCTTATCTTGCCCAGCCAAGCCCCCTGCCCTTTGTCCAGTTGCCCAGCACAATTTGTGCCTATCCTTTTCTGGTTATCAGAGTTCCTACCTCCCCAACCTCCAAGCCATCTGGCTCACCCAATGCATGAACCCCACAATGCTGCCAATTGACCTTAGTGCTCGGACACAGGTCACTTCTGCTGAGATTTTCTGCATCACTTGAAGATACCAGATCCTTCAGCTTGATCTGGTGAAGATTCAGTTCTGCAAACACACCATCAATCATGTCCTGTCACCTTCCCTACACATGATACCTAGGTGAGTTTGTACAATGATGTGTCTTGCAACT